TACGCCAAATTATGTTAACTTTAGGACTAACCATGGAGGTAGAAAAAAGAGATGGACTAACGAATCATAACAGCTTCTTATTGGTTATGCAAAAAAATCATGATCGCACAAACACAGACGGATACTAACTTTGTAGGCGAAGGTAATTATCTTGCAGTAATTATTAGACTTAAACCACCATAAAAATGTTATCTCATCTTTTCCTGAGTCTAATTATTTAACCGTTGGGGTACTACAAAAAGATGTACCAACTAGGATTATTCACATATCTCGGCCTTCGTAGTGTAATGTCATGGCATTCTTTTAAATATCACTCTCCCATTTGTATATAATTTCTACTCTAAGTCTTAGTGTAATGAACGAAAATGGCAATTAAAAATGCATATCTGTTTAGGTATAGGGGGTAAATATCATTTGATTTGTTGTTAACGTTAGGCTACGATGAAAATACACAAATAGGGAACGTACATGAAGAGAAAAACCAAGATAATTATCGACCAGTTTTATATTGGCAAAAGCTCAAATAGTATGGTTTAAAAAGACACAAATGATGCTGGTGCCGATTCCGCCTATAATCTATTCCATTTGATCTATTCCATCACGATCCATAAACACAACTTTTATTATAAATTAGTGTTACCTCAAACACCCGAAACTGTGTCAACTGCCTTGCTTTTAGCCGTTTTTAATACTTGTAAATTGATATTGGCAGGTGATTCTTGAAGCAGAGGTTGGAAATGGGGACCAAGGAGACATTGCAATTGATGACATCTCATTTGCAACATACTGTACGCCTTTTCAAACAGGTAAATATGATATTATAAATATTTCTGTTGCGCCTTGTATATCGATTCTAATTACAACGTTTCTGCAATAGTTAAGCAAAATAATCTGATATACCTTTGCTTATAGACACATCTAACCCAAGCCTGTCAACGGGCGCAATCATTGGCATCGGTCTTGGCTGCTGTGTGGTTGTCATAGGGATTGTTGCAACCATTGCCTTACTCGTCCAGCGTAGAAGACGCAGCAAAAAAAGGTAGGGGTTTTTACAGGTTTTTCTTTTATGTCAATGACTGCCTGGTCATATACAATAAAGGAATAGATATTTAGAAAGCTCCTTCAGTGAAATGCTACTAGTTGTAAAATCTAGTTAACGTGCTGTCACCTTTTCTTGCAGAGCTTCGTCCTGTGTCAACAACCAAAGAAGTGCGCCTGACCATGCTCATGTTTACGAAACTACAGAACATGCTTCTTCAAGAGCACGTATGTATTTACAGTCTTTGAGTTTGTTTTCTACATAGCACTTCAAGGTCTCATAACAGAAAGCTACGATATTTGAAGTATACTACACGAAAATATTATCGGAGAATGATTTGACTGAACTTGTGTTTCAATTGTGTGCCTTACAGGTGAAGTTCCTGATACGCCAGGCTATACTCTGAGAGACTTACCGACAGCACAGGCACAAGCGCTGCCGCTAGTAAGAATTATTGTTATTATTGTTGTTTTGGATAGGCCTTTTTCATACATAATATTAGGCATCTGTTCCCTCGAACAAAGTTAACATTTATCAAAGTAATAACAAATTTAATCTCACAAAGTAAAGTGATATTACTGTTTCTTACGGCAGACAACAAACTTCAACCCCAGCCTGTGTCATAAAGATGACGCTATCATCGATTCAGACGGATACGCACGTCTGTTAAAGAACGCTTTACCTGTCCATGGTGCTTCAAAGGGGGCACAGGAGGTTGGAATCAAAGGTCGACTGAATGTCGGTACGTTAACAATATTGAAGCTTCAACATAGTTCATAATGTAGTACAAGTAACATATCATGTCGACACAGCAAATGGTAGACGTTCTTTAGCCTTAATGTGCAATTTTGCTGTTTCTACACGTTTCTAGTCTACTTTCAGGGAGTCAATAAGATTGAGTAAGAAGACCTTGTAAGCCGAGCGACTAGTAGGTAAATAGGTATACAACATAATGATTTTGGTAAACTCATTTATTTTCGTTCATTAATCACAATTATATTTCCCTTTGCTTAGACCCAGCGCTCTACAAGTTCGTTGAACGGCACGGGTTCATGGAGTTTCTCCACATCTTCGCCGAGAACAACATCACATTGGGCTACCTGGTGGCTGCCACTGAAACAGATTTGCTGAATTTTGGCTTCCCCTTACCGGTTGCTTCGTCTATGTTAAAGCACAGTCGTGAGGAGTTTGGTATTTCGACGGGGCACTACACTGCCCCTGGGCGTGGATCTAGGCCAAGCTCTAGCTCCAGCTCACGACCTGCAACCCCCATGACTAATGTTGCCATTTGATTTTATCAAGACTCATTTTTGCTCATCCTGGAACGGGTCGGTGTGTCACTTTAAAGTATATTATGGCGAAGTGATTTTGTCTGTCAAAATCGTATAAATAAACAATTTACGTTATGCTTCTGATGCTAATTTAATGACGTCAAAACTTCGCCACTACATGTTCAAGCTATCCGCCATTTTAGATTGGCAATCTTGAATGTTTAAACATATATGCAGCTTTGATATACATAGGGAATGGACTCATCGTCATTTTTTTAGCCTGTAAAAAGTTTATAGTGTACTACATTAAATGTAGGGCGGACAGGAGCTGTCCCTGTAAAACAGGAATGACTTGATTCAAAGACTTGAAATGTAGTAGCTTCTATATTAAGAATTTACAAAAGTTTGTATTATTGTTATTATCATTGTTTTATTTTCTAATAAACGTATTTCCGGATCGGCAGTTTTTATGACGTTCTTGGTGTCTTATTTCCTTTTAAGAACAGAAATTTTCATAGACAAATATAGATAGATACATGTGTTACCATAATGATTATCTATTTATTTTATTCACATTTATTTTTCGAGGATTGGGCAAAAGGTTTTGAAACTCATCTCAGCCCTCTCCTCACACATAAAAGGAAATAATAAAACAAAGTGATAATAATAAGAAGAATAAATGACAAAGGTACATAATGAGCTGGTATACAAATCAAAATCAATCAACTAAATCAAACAAAACGTCCTGTCTGAAAAAATAAAGTTGAAAACCACGTCAAATATTTTACAGTTGTTGACAAACGACAGTGAGGGGTTACCCCTGAGAATGGTTGAACATAAGGTGTTGTCGGTGACGTTGTTTATGTCAAATGGCAGGATTTTAGTTAGAGATAATAGCATGTCAATACGTTCAAGTGCTAAGGTTAACTTAGGCCACATTGACTTAATTTTCAATAAATCAATCAATCAATCAATCAAATGGTTTACTTGTGAAAACAAACAAGAACTTGTAGCATTTGGCTAAATTGTGTCTTGCTGTACAATTTGATTTCATGACATATCTGGCATAACAAATTAAAATTGCTAAGTTATTCAATAAAATCCATATGATGACATCCGCGCGCGCATTGATTTTCCCCTGTTGAAATAAAAAAGATCACGTCCACCAAGTCCTGGCCTGGCTCTAGGCCTGGGTAGTCCATGGTAGTTAGCGACAATATAATACGGAGCCGGTTGTAACTCTGGAGGATGGCACCTAGGATACCGAAGGTCCACGACTCAAGAACTCAAGTGCATACGTACAGTGCAGATTCATAAATCCCGCAAAAAGCCAGCATGTGCCGGCCTGTCGTATACGTCGCTGAGTACTGCCGCGAATTCATGATACCAGCTTTGTATTCCTGTGGTTTAGTAGCATTTTTATTTTTGGCTGGAATTTTTTATTCGCCCGCGTGCACTAGTTTCGGTGTCTTCGGAGGATGTCATCCATAAAATTAAGTCGGCGTTAAGACTAAGAAAAACAACGGGCAATATTGTTTTTGTCCTTTGGACAATTTATACCACGAAAATAGGCCAATTATTTTTTTTTTGATGCTACGACTGTAAGTCAGCAATACCGTCTTGTTTATAAACAACATAAACAAAATTACCATAAATAAAGGAATAAGCAACCTGTTTAGGTTTGAACCTGTCTGAATAAGCAAAAGCTTCTGTCATCATTGCTGATAATTGCATTGTGATGTTTTAGTAGCTTAAAACTTTAGCATCCTTTGATAAAACCATGTGTATTTGCCTTTATTGCCGTCGCCAAAAAGGTTATGTTATCAGAGTCGTTCGTGTCTGTGGGTCTGTGTGTCTGCCTGTCTATAAACACGATAAATTGGGAAAGCTTAAAAGGATGGACTTGATATTTGGTAGATAGGTAGGTCTTGGTGAGACCTCAAATGATTAGATTTTTGGCGGCTCCTTATGGTACTGCATCTCAACTTCCGGTTTAGATATCTCATGACCTAGACATGCTAGGATTACGAATTCTTGATGAAAGGCAGCACGTGTTATGGGGAAGAATTGTGCCACATGTGTTTCTTCACTTCGCCTGGTGTGTCACACATCATTTTGGTTAACATACCAGCATAATGATAGCTAACTATATACAGCAGCACATTTCTGATAACCCAGACTCATACATGACGAAGGCAAAAAGTCACCGACCTCTTGTATTGGAAAGATTTGTGTTTATTTTTTAGTACCTCAACTTTTTCTAGCAGAAAGTGATTTGACAGAAAAGTTGAGGTACTAAAGACAACTTCCAAAGGCGTCTATGCTTTAATAAAAGGGACCAAGTGTAATAAAAAAAGGAGTTCAAGTGGTTTCAACCTGTCAATACTCATTACATTTTATTACTGTTTTTGTAAATATGTATGGTGTGGCTTAATTGGCTTATAGCTTTTACACTTCGAGCTAGAATATTAAACAGTGAAGAAGATGAACAAGACACAAAAACCTCTTTGACTAAGAAAAACAAAGTCAATTTTTTTAATTAACCAGAAAAGATCCACCGATTCAAATACAATTGATTTTACTTGCCTTTATTTGTTTCACATACGGTGCTAACATTGTAATAAAATCGTTATGCATTGCTATGTTAATCACAATTCCTTTTTGTATTAAAATGTCAGAAAATGTTTGAAAACCAAACGCAATTGTGTACTATTTTCTACTGTATATTTTTAGGTGGATCATAAAAAAGAAATGCATAATACATATGAATTATACAGTTTCAATCTAATAAATCTCATGGCCTCACGAAATCACCACTCTTAAGCTAAACAAGAGTCAATTTGACACAAATATCCGTGCTGTTGTGACACTATTAGCAGATTGGGCGAAGGTGTGTTGTGCCGAAGAAAATGTAAAAAAAAAACCTACAAAAAGCAAAACAAACACTTCAATTATGAAATAATCACAAATGTGCCATTTGTCAATATCCTCACTGATGTTGTCTTGGATATGTTTAAACACCGACAGCTGTTCAGCCACCTGCAGGGTGGTTACCATCGTTACACAACAACGAGCACAAATCACACAATGATAAAAAAATCACAGTTCCATCAAAATAGGGTTGTCTTCTAAAATAAAATATGCACTCTGAAAACTGCTCCGGTTTACATACGCGTCATCTCATGTGTACTAGCAGACGACATGCCAAACTACATACCATTGGAACAAAAGTAGCATGACTTACAGCTGCGAAGGTACGGGCACAACAAATCGCAATACTCAGCGGAGGTCTCTGACCTCTTTTACAATGTAATAACGTTCCATTTCGGATTACGTTTTGGAAAGGTTTTATTGAATTACATGTTCGTGCAACATTTCTTATTCCTTTTTTTCTACTTTTAGTGTGGTAACTTGGCAAATGATTCAATAGTTTAATTGGTTTCTAATTACTGCAATTAAGACATCAACTAGTTGTAAGCCTTAACAGATGGGTTCTTGGCAGTCAACTCCATGTTCATGTTGTACTCATCAAACTTCGCTGTGCTAGGGCCGCAACGGCGGTACTTACGACCAGTGTAGTTGAGGAGAACGACAACCAAACCAACTGTGACCACAACTGCAATGCCAACACAAAGCAGTGCCAGGTACAGCGGCTCCTTGTACCAGGGCGCGTTCTCATTGGAGACAGCTATTGATAGAAAACAAAATACATATCAGTAAGGAACTAGAAACATTTACATTTTCTTTTAACAATTACTGCGAAAGAAACGCTGATTTCAAGATTCCCTTTTCAAATATCAATCCAGCCTCAACATGTACCGTACCGTACACATTGATTGTGTTTGTTGCAATAGTTCTCAAGTAATCAATACAGTATGCATAATACTTCGGCTCAAATAAAATCTACATGTATAATACGCATTGGCTACCATTTTGGTTATGTCGAAATAGATAAATGTGACATACGTCAAGCCTTTATATTCTCTGTGGTTGCATCTTACGTTTATATCTAACTGACTTCGTGTCCTTTTTGTTAGGGTGAAGTAGTGCACAGAAAATTAACTTGATTACGATCTTGCCCTATTGTGACAGTACTTGACACAAAATTTGATAAGTCATTCAAGCAAACATTTAGCATGGGAATTCCAAACGGTCTTCGATAAATATTAAATATATTAGTTCTTGGTATAAAAGGATATCTTCTAAAAGACATAGGATCGCTATTTGGAGTAATGCGAACTTTGAAAAAAAAAAGGCCACGCACCTTTAAACACCAGGATGGATGATGGAATCACCACGATTGAACCAGCAGAGCCCAAAGTATTGTTGTTGAGCAGTATCCCGGCGTACAGGATGTCTTTGATCTCAACGGTTGAGACAGTCCCTCCTTCGCCGAGGTAGACGTCGAAGATGGCGATGACACTTCCTGCTCGAAAACCTGTGACCTTACAACCTTTGTAGCGATTATCCAGATCGCTGGTGGCGAAGATTCCATCGATCTGAAGACAATTATAAAATTCAATAATTGATACCTGTCTGGTAGTTGAAAAGATATTTTGACGTCTAATTTTGCCTACGATCAGTGATCAGTTATCAATGATGGTTGAGAACTAGAAGTAGCATGTCATCCCGATGGTTATAACACGGACTTTAGGTCCTAATAAATGTAGATGACAAGGTATTTTAAAAAATTCCCGGGCAATTCTAAAGCAATTTCTTAAAAGTACAACTCACTGCAGCTTCCACTTCTTCCTTAGTTGTGCTGAACTCCTCTGATTCCGGATCACCCAGACCGTTCTCTGTGAAAACCGCTTCATTGGTGCCGATGTGGGAAATTGTCACCTCCGTGTTAAACGTTGTAGTCTCTATAAGTACAGAATAAGCCATCAAACGGGTAACCACACATAGTTGTCAACATGGGCAAGGTCATAATGTAGTGATGTTTATATTTAAAACAAAGTCGTATATGATGCTGTAACCACCCAGCAATAACAATTAAAACAGAGGAAAATCGTGCCTTTCAGTATGTAATAGCCTATTGTGTGTGATAAATTCTCAAAATTAATGTCTCTGATCAGGAAATCTGAATTCCGCATTTACACATGGGCAGGTAAAAAGTATTTGGAATCAGGACCAAATAACTAACCTTTGCATTGCGTGCCATCCTCCGACAGATAGTAGCCAGGTACGCACTGGCAAACAAATAAACCCTCTACTTCGACACAGTCTTGGTGTACTTTGTCTGGACAAGGGTGGCTCCTGCAGTCATCAACTTATCATATCACAAAGAAAATGAAACAAAAAAGATTAATACAAAACATATTGTCCCATTCCCTGCCCCCATGACGGATAATATGCTAAACTGATAATTTTAGGAAAAAATTGGAAACCGTCTGTGGGGGTGCATACAAACCTTTCAAGGTAGTTGCTTGAATAGGTTGCTGTGTATTCTCGCTCTCCTTTGTTGTTTCCTGATGTTGAGTCTCTGAAAGGTTAATGTATATACTGTGTTTATAATCATGCTCTAAATGACATTGCAATTCATCATTATCGCCATTATTGTGAATGTGATTGAAGTGCGCTTCGATCCTTTTCTTCCACTAGTTTAAAGTACCCATAACATAGTAAATTAAACCATTTTTATTATAATATCCGTGAAATACTTACCTCTCTCCAATGATAGGTTACCACTGATAACAGAAATGATATTTACACTGTCCACTATTTAACCAACCTGATTATCTGCACTCTATATGTATTTAACTACGAAACCCCTTGGTGTGTTGAAACAATCCTTCTAATTGGTAGCGACGTCACAGCTACAGGACCAGTAATACAAAGTTGATAACTGTACTTAGATAAGGTCAACTCAAGGAACAGAAGAAATAGACTCCATTTATGATGCCAATAAACGGCTAAGGCCACGTCAGCCCATTTACAATACAGAACATGCACCAGGTAATTATATATAATGAGTGTAGGCATTTGGAACAGTACTGTAATAATAACATGCCGTACTTGATGTTTCGGGCCCTAAAGTTGTGAAATTAGAAAATGAAATACAACAGTTTATTTTTGTAGTGATAAAATATATAGACTGTTTTGTTTTAAATTAGGTAGCCAGATACATACTTGTGATAGTTATTATATTCCCCTCAATCGTGCAAACTGACAGGAATAAGACCAAATTCTACGTACATCCGTATACAATTTCGTTAGAGTGCTTACAGAAGAAACACTTTTCGGTAATTGAAAAGTATTAATGTTAGGCTTTGCTACCGATATTAAGAATCTGCCAGATGATATTCTAGTGCACCTATTTTTAAGAGGTATCAACAACTCATGACATTCAAATATTGCTCTATGTACGAAGATGTTTGTCAGATTCTAAACAGTTTTTGTAATATTTTAAGGTAATATGTCAGTACTGTCAGTCTTTTGAAATATATGGTCACTTGTTTATAATTCAATTACTCTGTAAAATCGTGCCTTCCTTGTCATGTATTATGTGTTGTCTTATGTGTCGATGGCGGCATGAATATAAGTTTCACTCTTGTGTGCCGTTACCGTGTTTTGTCAATAAATGTTTCAACAAAAGAAAAGCTAAAATAAAGCCATAAATCGTAACCCTGTGACTACCATTGGCGCGTGTGTGCCAAAAGGCCGTCCAAATAATTTATTTCGACACCGAAAAGCACACTAAATATGCATATCATCTCGACCCCAAAAGCAAATCATATACTAAAACTCAATGAACTCCAACCAGACCACCTGCGAACACAGAAATATCGACCACTAACATAGTCCTTCCGCAAAAAGATGTCTCCTTTCCCGGAGGTAACAAAGACAAACAAAAACATAAAACTTACCCACGCAGGATTTGCCGTCAGCGCCGACAGTGTATTCCTCCGGACACACACAGGAATAACTTCCTGGAGTGTTTTGGCACTGGTACTCACAACCGTGGTTTATCAGGTTACATTCATCCAGATCTATAAAAAAACAGAAAAAATGTAGATAGTGTTGTTTGCTGAACAGACCTGATATAAGCAAATATTACATCAGTTATATTTTTATACCATTCATTTGTATGTAAATGCCTGTATATTGTCTTGTTGATTTAATATGGGCCATGGGCTTGAATTACAAGAAAAAATAAGTAAAGTTAAGTAAATAAGTCATTACTCCATCCGTATGCCTGCCTTTGACATAAACACCAACACTTTTAAATTTCAGCTTACGAAGAAAAGTGGTGGTATAATCCATTGATATCACTGACACAATGATTTCAATATGGTAAAGGATAATTTCTCTAGTAAATATTTTTTAAATATTGAAATATTACAAGGGCAACGTATTTACCATCTTGACAATGCGATCCAGCCCAGCCGTGGGTACAGGAACAACTGTATTGGTTGACGCCATCTTGGCATAGACCTTCATGTTGGCAAGGCGAGCTGCTGCATTCATTGATATCTGAAAAAAAAATGGCATCAGCATGTTTCAGTATTTCCTTAATTCTGTAATATTCACGTGAATTGGTATCTCTATTTAACATATAATGATATTTTTCGAAAGGTCTGTAATCTCTGTATAGCGTGTTTGATTCTAACATTTGATCAAACATATTTACCATCACATGTTCTTGCATCAGTACCAAGTACATAACCGGGTGGACATCCGCAGGTGTAGGATCCGTTGGTGTTTGTGCAGGAATGGGAGCAGTCATCCAGCTCCAAATGGCATTCATCCAAATCTATTATGTAACAAAATAAAAAACAAGATCAAACTATAGATGTCCCATACTTTTACTGCTAACAAAATTCTTTTTACTTTTTTGTTTTCTTTTTCTCACACATTAATGATTGTAAAACGAATATAAGTAAAACAAACTAGATAGTGTGGTGGAGTTTGGCAGAGACCAATTTGGACTGTCCAAGTCCTTTTCCACTACTAAGCGAAAACAAACTATTAATTAACCAAAATGTTGAAATAAAATAACAATACAAAACTGAATTGAGTTAACACAAAAATAATAGCAATTGACAACGCTCAAGTAATAAATAACTAATGCCGTTAATATTTTACAGGGGGTAACATTTGAACACAATGCTACCCCCTCCAAAAGAACCCATCAAAAATAGAAAACTTTGAGACTCACCCGTGCAAAGATCACCAACCGGAGCTAGTCCTTCTGGACAGGTACACTCGTAAGTTCCCGGTAGATTCTCGCAAAGATGTGGACAGCCGTGGTTATTCAGATCACACTCGTTTATATCTGTGAAGAGAAATAGATATTCTATTACTATTAGTTCATGTAAAAGAACATGATGAAAACATGAGGATGATTTCATACAACCTGGTGGTTACCAAGAAACAGTCACTATTATTATTATGAATAAATGAGGCAGCGTTTACATTACCTTCACACTCAAATCCGTTTCCAATGAAGCCAGGAGGGCATCTACCACACTGGTAACCTCCGTCCTGCAGGTTAACACAAGAGACCCCTGGGAAGCACGGCTCCAGGGCACATTTATTATTAACACTCACATCACAATTAACACCAATGTATCCTTCCGCGCAGGTGCAGTTGTAGCCATTCACATGGTCAATACAGGTTCCGTTGGAACATGGGTTTGATTGACATTCGTCAATTTCTGTTTCACACAGTTGCCCGGTGTACCCTGGACAGACACAGTTGTAGTAGCCTTGGCCGCGAGGCTTGTCGGGATCAGGAACACACAGTCCTCCATTTTGGCAGTCACACGTTGTGGTCGTCAGCTGAAACGTCTGCTCTGCTGATGAACCACACTCATCCTGAACAGTAACGCTGATGTCGAACGTTGTTGTGAAGTCTCCTATCCACGTCAGCTCGCCGTCTGGCTTCACAGTAACGCCTGGACCTCCCGATGTCACGAGACTAAAGGTCAAAGGTCTGCCTTCTGGGTCTACAGCGCTCAGGGCCATGGTCAGGTTTTCATCGGGAAGCTTTGTGATGGTCGGTGAGGTGGTGAAAGACGGTGGGCTGTTATCTGGATTAAAACGATAGAGACATTCATGTATACAAACACAGAAAAATTTCATGATATTTTACATTAGCCATCTATATTATCGAAATATATAAATAATAATATATAATATTAAAAATATAAAAATATTTAAATATAACAATTTTAATGTAATTTTACATTTTGTGTATTTTTTTACGTATCTTTGTTTTTTTAGTATTGAATATTGCGTTCTACATGATCTGCAATCAGTATGTTTTTGCGTACTATTAACGCAGCAACATCTTTCTGACATATCCTTCTATGACTCACTTTGCCTGTTGGACCAGGTCGTGTTAGAAAATTGAGGCAGACATTGTAGACACCAGTTGTTGGGATCTGGTTCTTCAACCCCGAAGCAGTGTCCTCGGATGTTGCACGTGTTTTGCTGCATTGAAAAAAAAGCTTCGTATTCAAAGTAACATTGTAAAGTAGAACGTTATGAACCAAATATCTTATCGTTGAATTTCTGGTGTACTTAGCAATTTTAGTTCGGTATTTTTTAAAATAAATAAATCTGCAAAATACCTTCCACACACAGTCACCTCCTTCAGTACACTCCTGACAGACAGAGTCGTACACTGTGAAGAACAACTCTCCACTGAACCGTTCTCCATCGTTACTGACAGAGACCAGCATCCCATGAGCCACCGCGCCTTCGTTAGTAGCAGGTGTTCCGTAACGTACAGGTGACCGGGGAAGGATACATGCCACCTCCCCAAAACTCCTGAACTCTGCTCCAGACCTGCCGCTAGAGGTTTCAGGAATCTTTTGCCCATCTTCAATCTGGAAAAACATATGGAAACGTTTTATGAATTATTTGTACAGATTTCGTTCTTTTTTGTAATTAGTTAAAATACCTAAGAGTAAAAAATGCAATCTTTTTGATCAAAGTAAATGGAAACATTAGTATAATACTGGCAATGGCAAATAACAAAATAAGACACTGTATGTTATAAACCTACAACAACGAGCAACACAAATGGCCATCTACACGGATTGCATGTTCCCTTTTAATGACTTACATGTTTACAAGATTACATGACTATGTTTGTATGTATGTATGTATGTATATTTACGGAAGGCAATGTTATTTATAATTGTAGATCAATATTATGGTATGCTATGTAATGTGGTTTACCTCAACATGAGTTACTCTGCAGGTGAGATTCTCTGAATCCATCAGTCCCTCAGCAAAGAACGAGGTTTTCATACAGGGACGTGTCCGGACGTCACAGAGACCCTCGGCGGGGAGAGCGAGAGCAACGGGAGGCCTGCCAACTTGGATGGAGCAGTCTTCCGACGCGTATGCCTCGTTACACTTACAGGTACCGTTCACACACTGGCCGTTGTTGCTACACTGACGTGGACACAGGTTTGCCGTGATGAAGATTGGGGGTACTGCTGTGCCGTTTTCATTGGTTTCGTACAGACTGACCTCCTTGTAGGCTTTTTCTGCGCAATCTGCCTGGATCTGCTGCACTATGATGTCTACATAGTCGAATTCCTCTGTGACCTACAATGATTGTAAAGTAATTGGGATTAGTAGAAGACACCCCTTGCTGGCGTCCCCCAGGGTTCTATCTTAGGCCCAACACTCTTTATCTTATACATTAATGACTTACCTTCTAGATGTACAACATGTGAGGCGAATCTGTTCGCAGATGACACCTCTCTTACTGTAGCTCACCGTTCCATCAACACAGTTGTAGACTCACTAAACACAGATCTGGCTACAGTTTCCGAGTGGCTACAACACTGGAAACTAGAGGCTAATAGGGACAAATGTAAAGTTATGTTTCTCACTACCCGCCCCCTCCCACAAAGGATCCCCCCGGTCATCTTAGCCGGTACCACCTTACAGATTGTCCACAGTCACAAACACCTGGGTGTGACCCTAACCAGTAAACTCACCTGGTCTGCACACGTCGAAGCCATGACAAACAAGGCAAGACGTACTGCTGGAATGCTCTGCGCCCTTCGGAAAAAGGTGCCCAAGACCATACTACTACAACTGTACAAAATCATTGTCAGACCAGTTCTAGAATACGCTGACATCGTCTGGGGTGGTCTCACCATGCGTGATCAAAAGACCATCGAATCGGTCCAATACCGGTCAGCCAGAGTGATAAGTGGACACCACGGGATTCCTTATCCCTCTCACAAATCTCTCTATTCTCAGTTTGCCCTCCCTACACTTACTTACCGTCGTAAGGTTCACGCAGTAACCACTCTGTACAAATTGAAGAATGGTCACTGCCCGCCCCACCTAGCTAGTTTATTACCTGTTACCAGGACATCCGCCATACACTCCAGATACCCCCTCAGAAATGGAATAAATCTTTGTGTACAAATCCCCAAAA